TAATTGCATCATGACAAGATAATAATCAAATTTTAGTCATCAGATGTCATTCTCTTAATTCTTGTGATTTACTCTGATGGGTGTAAGATTAAAAGCTCCAGTATGCCTTATTCAGTTTTGAAAGCACAACAATGACTATAAAAGTATCCTGTTTAAAGTCATTTATTTTGGAGAGTGGCACGTATGTCCCCTATAGAAGACTGAGGAAGAATCAATACATATTGCGTCACTGCAGGATGTTTATTTCATGCGGCTTTAAAGGCTTCAAGGAAAACTGAATGGTGACTTCGATCATAGACAGCAAGAAAATACACAATTTCACCAAATCATTTGACATTGCCCATCACTGTGTACCGTATTAGACTTCTCGAAAGGGCCAATCACGAATCATGATATCAAAGATATTAATTACAAGAACAATAAATTGATTTAACAATAACAATAAATTGATTCATGAACAAAAGTTATTGGATCCTTAATAGAAAATCAATGCTATAAGCTACTACAAGACAAGCTACAAGTACACTTACATATGCATATTATCATACCTTTCCTGCATAGGCCAGTTTTATAGATACGGTACAGTAGAATTATATGTTGTTGTGATATGGGACTAGCTCTTGAAGAAGTCAAATGTTATTTTCTGCATATTCAGTGATTTACTTGGTTGGTAGGCAGTTTCCTTGTGACCTCGTTCTTGAAGCAAGGTGAACTGATATCTTCCTTGAACTTTGTCTGTTCAAAGCCATAAGGGCATTAACATATATCACTTAGCTTGGGGGGTCAACACCCTTTTTCCTCTGAACAGATGACTTATTGGTCACTATGGAGTACCTTTGTGTTTGTAATGTAATGAGGTCATTTTGGTGAATGAGTGAGTGGTCAGTTAATGAGTGACCAATTAGGTTGACTCACATAAGGTCATGAGTGGTAAACACTTTGTTGTGAATAAACAAGGGTTCTTCTCAATGCCATTGGATACTTGGAAGGTAAGCCGTTGGCAAGAAAGACCAGGATGAGTTGAAGAAGAAAGCGCGTCATCTCTACACTCACTTGGCAACACCTTTGTACTTTGGTATATATACATGGACAAGAGATGTACTTTTGAACAAAAATATTTTTAGAGTTAATATCTTTCTCTGACCACATCTGCACTACATTAAATGTTAACTCTCAGAAACGGTCGATCAATAATTTTTTATAAAACAGTCTTTTTTTATAAATATGAAACATCTGAAATATCTATTCGACTACGACTGCGGTAGAATATACACATTTTATTCATTTTTAATGGATTCTCAAAATTCCCCCTTGTACAAGTTTTTCTTTTCAAATTTTAATAAGAGTCCATTCACATGTGAATAGACAGTTTTGAGAATGTACATTTATATTCTCTGCATTTTTATCACAGTTTTTTTTTCCTTCTGTAAACGACCAAAGAAATGAGAAATATTACGCAAAACATTCTCTGCAACCTTTTTTCCAAGCATTCAAGGTTATCTCGACGGTTTAAAACGTAGAAAACTAATCCAATTTTTTTTGCTCTGGATAACTTTTGTCATCAGAATCTCATTTCCCCAAGAATTTTGATCCATCTTCACCCGGCCACCTTCCCTTGTATGAAAACTAAACCTGTGACTTGTCAGGTTATTGCTTTAGCTCCCAGCGAATACCTCCCTGTTGAAAACGGATACGGTCTCTACAAATTCTCCTCCTTGGAGTTGGGGCCAGGGCGATGGAAAATCCGCAAATCTTCTTATACTGCGGCAACGCTGGGTGAAAAGATATCAAATCTGTTTCAGTTTGGATTCAAATGTAAATATGAGGGATTGACTGTATCCCTTTTTCAGGTCAATGTTCGACAATAGATGGTGTTGATTTCGCATCACGGACCTCCTGAATGAAATTGTTCCCATTTTTCTTTCCCCGATCCCTCCTTCTGCCCCCCTTTCTCTGTGCTCTTTTGTCAGAAGATGTTATACAAAGTAACAGAAATACCTCCCTCAAAGAGAAGTGATATGGGTTTCAGACCAATGGGGTTTCCTTTTTTCTAAAATCTAAAATATGGTATTGTCACCTGAAACCTGTTCTTTGATTATAAATATTAATTTGATATGCCACAATCATTTGTAACCATTGTTTAGAAGCAGTAGGGGTAATAATCATAATTACAAAATTGTTCATTTTGTGGTCTGCAGTTCCCCAAAATGATAACCAGTTTGCACCCCCCCCCCCCCTAGTAAAATAAAAAGTCAAAAGGGCCCCTGAAACAAATTTGTGTGGTTTTCAATTCATTAAAAAAAAATCTATCATTTTTTTTCTTCTATTCTTTCTTTGCCTGTTACAGAAGTCAAATTAGCACCTGGATATGCCACTTTTATCATAAACATATGTGATATATATACAGTAGGCTTGCAGTTACTCCATGTGAGAGAGGGGGAGGATTGGGGAGTCCTGATATACAGATAGAACCTATGCTAAGGGAAAAGTTAATATCCCTTGCATCGGGAGACAGGTGACTTGCAATGCACTCTCCATAGCCTGCAGAACAACGTTTCATATTACATTTTGTACAGCTCAACCATGAATGAACGTTCTCTGCCCGCAGCAGAACAATGTTTAGAATTACATTTTGGGTGCTAGAATGTACTGCAAAGGATCGATTAACGTGATGTACGCTTATTGAATAAAGTTCAGGGACCTGTTTCATAAAATTGTCATCAAGAACAAGTTACAATAACTGTTACAAGCTACTAAAATTGTTGCAATTGATTGGCTGAGTGCAAATTCTATGTCAAATTCTACCATTTGTTATTGAGTTCTACAACTATTTAAAAAAATTATTTCATTTTTATCCAAATAAAAATTAAAATAACTAGAAAGTAAAGGTATTTGTCCAAGGCACTGCTTAGCTAAAGTAAATAAGATTTCATATTTGCTATAAATCAAGCGTGACTGATTTTATGAAATATCTTCGGTAATCTTTGAAGCAGAAAATTGTTCAATATGGAGTATTTATATAAAACATGTGGGAGGCTGTTTGTTTCGTTATACACAAGAAAATTGGTCTAATATGAAAAGCAAATACATGTAGATATGCTAAGTACTGTGTAATAATGGTGTATAAAGGGCAGAAATATGCTCTTGTGGGTGGTCACAGTTTGAGAAGACTCAGGATTGAATTGTGTCAGCAAGAAGCTAGAAGAAAAAAATTTAAAGGCATAATAATGATAATAAAAACAGTGCTTATAAAGCGCTTACCACCGAAGTCTCTAAGCGCTATAACAAACAAAATACATTGATAAACAATTAAATATTAAAAAAACTAAAAAAATAGAAATAAAACTACAAATTACAATACATATGAAACATACATCAATATAAACAGAGTTAGTTAATTATCAAAAGCAATTTTTGAATACCGGAAGATAGGTTTGAAAGTTGCAAGTAATAACGATTAAAGAAGTAATTATAGGAGCCTATTAGCAGTTTATATATAGTTTAGGGAGAAAGGGAAAGTTACTATAGGGAAAGGAAATAATTTTAGCCTTGAAATTTTGTTTGTTGATTAATTGCTGAACCTTATCTTCTCATATAATTTATCATACAGCATCACCAAAATATAAATTCCTATGAAATGGTGTACCATGAAACTACAAAGAATTTACAGACATAAACAATGGCAAGCTCAGTGATATATACATGTATTTCGACAACATATTTTTAAAATATGTTATTTTACCCATAACATTACCAACTGATAACTGAAGTTAAAGCTGCACTACACAACAGAAGAAATTGCTTAAATCAGACCAATTGCAACCAAGATTATCTGGCCTATTAAAAAGGGATACATTGTATGTGTTTGGAAAACATCACATTTCGAATCAAAAAATCTACACATCTTTAGTTGTTTTCTGAGCTTTTTGTTTTTCATATCATTTTGAACTGATTATATTCATAAGACATACATTTCATATCATGTTACTGTAACAGTAGATAGAGTTACACAATACAAAACAGAAAATATTATAGTCATCAGATGATTGCAACAAAGATTATCTGGCCTAAAGGATGTCTCTGCGTGAAAAGGTCATTGAGCGGCTGAGTCTTGGAGCTTATCGACTGCATATTATGATAATTTTGTCAACCTTTAGACTTTGAAATCCGGGTTTTAAAAAATAGGGAAGGAATTCAATGTAAAGCCTGTAACGCATATAGCAAGTTCTATAAAAGTGTGACTATTATTAAGATTATTATTATACACTTTGAGCTGGCAGTGCATATAGGGCATGTTTAATTGAAGCATGTAAAGCAGCCTGTGCTTAATTTTATGAAAAACAATATATCTCACAAATATGTCTGCATCTCTGATAAGTGAAGTGCTTAGACTAATAAAAGTGTACACTAAATATTGGCTTATAGTATACAATAAATGATGGATTAAAAAAATTATGAGGCTGAATAATTTTCCTTTTCATCTCAAGGATCTGTCTTGCCATATTTGTTGGGGCAAGGAGATGGCACTTGGTTGGTGAAAACATGCTACATAGTAGGTCCATGGTGAGAGGGATAGTGGAGTCTCCTTTTGTTTTGTATTCTTTGAAGAGAACTATTAGTCATTGGGGGTAGAGAGGCTGTCCTTGAAGTACTTACTAGACTTTGAATACCTACATGCAATGACATGAGATCAGGCAGACTGGGTCATTGTTCCCTTCTTCTATTCAAGTTTACTCAGCCCTTCACTGGCTCAGCCTCTGAAAACAGTAGACCAATCTGTGACGAGTAAACACAGTGAAATCCTTGGTTAGTCTAACACCAGACACATTTATTTCCAGGATTCATATGATTGCAATTCCTACTATTTTGCTTATGGTAGGCAATTTTAAGATTTAATCATGAATTGGCTGAATGGATTTAAATTCTTATTGGTGAATCATATGCGTTTATCAAAGGGGAATGTTTAGAAACGTGGGGATTAAACACAGCATGATTAATCAGGTTTGGAATGTGAGACTAATTTGTGAACATGCACATGTATTAGGAGGTACACAACTCTGTGCCTGCCTGACTCAACCAACCATCCATTGTATCTTCAGGTGTTTATTGGGGTACAAGCTCGCCATTCAAACCCCCCTTGTTTCATTTGTTGATTCTGGACACGCATGCTCCATTACGTTTCCCCCATCGTGTTTCATTCGGCCAGCCGAGTTCAGCGGGGCATGCATGGACGCAACATCCCTCGCAGGCAGGCAGCACATCAAGGATTTCATTTTGTTTTCATCCTCTCGATCGAGCTCTGCGTAACCCGGCGAATTATTCAAAGCTTCGAAGACCTTTGCCTGAATTGGAGGTAAATTTGTAGTGGGAGACGCGACGCTGACGTGGGTGAGATCGGCGAATAGATGTCAATTTCTGCTTTATCTGATAGTGAGAGGTACATGTCTCCAATTTGACTGCGTCGATCGTGTTGGTTATGTGAGATCGAGAGTAACACCGCTTGGACTTATACTGTGGATATATTCACTGGATATAATTATACGCCTGCATTCAATGACATCTGTATGGCAGTTCATTCATTGATTTCTTTATGAGGCTTCATTGAAAGAGTTGTTCTCATCCTGTTATGAATTATTGATCTTATTAATACCAGGAATAGATATATACTTTAAGGTAAGTGGATGTAAATGGTTACCATAGTGTAAGCATTGATATTGTGTAAAATGAATCTGATATATCTTTATATAGTTAATTTCTACATTATATTCTGTTTTCTATTAATCATTTGTATTCTGCACAATAACTCAGATATGTCACATCTTATATTCACATTTGGAGGTACTGTATTGTATTGATGTCAGATTTTTGGTTTTCATAAATAATATAACAAGTTGGATAAATTAATCATGTTTCATGAAGTACCAAAATGTATGAAAATGAAAAAAGGTGAATTCATGATATACAAAAAACATTTGATTGAGCACATGTATGCAAAAAAGCAAATGGAGCATGAAATTGCAACTCCAAGTTATGCAGTTACATTGTATTCAATCAATCAAAGCGCTTGAACCTCTTCCACGGTTAATAATTGTTGTCAATTGGTCATTGACTTGTGGACTTGTACTTTGAATTGTACTTATAATAACGTGAGATAGTACTAGTAATGAAGATTTTATCATAAGTCTGTTCCTCTTCATGCTAACTCCTCCATTGTAAGCACATTCCACCTGTGGTGTATCGTATACTTGAGTGCAAAGTGCTGAAGTATTAATAGTGAATGTGTCATGGTATGGGTTCGTTCACTTGACTCTCAAGCCAGTTCGGCGCTCATGTCTTTTGGCAAGACATATAATCCACATTTGCCACCCTCCACCCAGGTGTTAAATAAATGGATGCCTGACAGGATTTATTCCTTGTAATGCACTGTGCACTGATTACATACAGCTGCCAGAGCTAAAGCCAGTGTAATAATATCCAATCTTCTTTGGAAGTGCATTGGGACTTTATATCATAATGTGATATGCGCTACAAGAACATTTTATTACAATTATTATATATTTTTTAAATATGATCACATTCTCCATAAGAAATTATTAACTTCCGATCAGATAGGCCCACTTACCGATATTTCAACATTGTTTTACAATTTCATTCCTACAGTTGATACATTCACTATGTGCTTCTACACATTTTGACCACCTCGATTTGATCAGATTTTCTTCCATTTTACCATGGAGTTACTAATGCTCCAAGCTTTAGACATTCTTTCACAGAATATACCACTCTTTATCATCTCTTTCTCGCTGTTCAATCATAATGCCTTCCCCTACAGCTAAGAAAGAAATGGGATACCATTCTTCATTTGAGCGCAACATCCTTCCATCATCATCATTCATGTTCATGTAGTAGGGAGTCATATCCTCTAGAGTTCATGTACATGTACATCCAGCCCCCTCTCCTTCCCCCTCTCCCCCTACCCTCTGGCTCTAGCTCTCTTTCTCACTCTCTTTCCCTCTATTTTTTCTCCATCCATCTCTCTCCTGTATGTATGGAATTTCTTAACAGACACGTTAACACTGCTAATGTTACTGTGTCTGTTCAATCTGCCCCCCTTTTTTTTCTCTCTCTCTCTCTCTCTCTCTCTCTCTCTCTCTCTCTCTCTCTCTCTCTCTCTCTCTCTCTCTCTATCTCTCTCTCTCTCTCTCTTTCTTTATCTCTCTCTTTCTTTATCTCTCTCTTTCTTTATCTCTCTCTTTCTTTATCTCTCTCTTTTGCTCTCTCTCCCACTCTTTATCTCTCTCTTTTGCTCTCTCTCCCACTCTCCATTTAATGACTGTGTATTTTGGGAACAAATTTCTTTACAAACACATTAACAATCTCCAAGAATGTTAACATCTCTCATGCATGTTTGCAATCACTTCTCTCTCCCCTCTCTGTTTCTTGCGCCTCTGTATGATTAGGGAGCACATTTCTTTAGGAGCCCATTCCCCATCTCCATTTACTCTTAACACTCTTTGTGCTTGGGAATCACATCTTTTGTGTGACTTTACCCTCCCAAACACCATTATCTTAACACCCTTTGTGTCAGGGAACCCCCGTTAACTGTGCACAAGAATGAGTCAATTCATCAATGGGAGTTTGTGGATAATATTAGAGCACTGTGGGGAGGATATAGTCTCCAAAATCAGACTCTAGTTGACATTTAATCAAAATTCCATCAAGCCTTGAGCCGAGCCTAGCTTCGTTTATCTCTGGTTGTGTCGGGAGCAGCTAGAGTACAGCGCCCATGGTGTCGAGTACACCGTGCAAGTCTGTGTAGGCTTGCAGTTCAGACACGCTGTGAAAGGTGACTGACAGGGGTTGGCGACTGCAGACTAGGGAGGGTAAACACCAGGGCGTATGAACGCACCTGCTTCGCTGATCTGAGTCACTAACGGCTTCATATGTCAATGCCCCCTTCCAATGGATGGATGCATGGTACATCTTGAGCCCCAGTCCGAAACAAGCGAGGGAGCTTTAATGTCTCTGTGAATGACCGCATCTCATAAAGTATAATCCCCTCCACGTTGAAATCCATCCTCCTTCCTCCCTCCCCTCTTGCTTTTGCTCTCAGGTTTCTCTCTTTCTCTCTCTCTCTCTCTCTCTATCTCTTTCTCTGCCTCCCTCCCTCTCTATGTATCCCCTTCTCTCTCTTTCTCTTGCTCTCTTTCTCTCTTCCCCCCTTTCTCTCTTCCCCCTATTTCTTACTCCCTATTTCTTACTCTGTTTCTCTCTCCCTCCCTTTCTCTCTCCCTCCCTTTCTCTCCTCTCCTTCTTCCCTAATAAATCTTCACTTTACCAGTCTGTTCTTATTCATCCATATGGTATTGGTGTGCAGCACACATACATTTGATTCAATACTATTTTTTAGTTCGTGGTAGCTTTTCACATTCTGTATTGTAAATGTTGGGGATTATTCTTTCTATTCTGAGCACGTTCAGTACTCAGCATGTGCTCAACATTTTCAGCAAATTTTAGTACATTTTACATGTATGATGCATTGTACGCATACACAGTGCACAACACAGTGTAGACTCCATATTTGTTTGAATTCATTAACCAACTTGTGACCAAGAGTCTAAAATGCTGTTGAATTTTTACAACGTTAATTTCTGGGCTATTTCTTGACGAGCTATAATTCATCTTGGCAAGATGGAATGAGCTCGCACTGCAATATGATTTTTCGCGTAAAATCTTTACTTTGAAAATAATTATACACATTTTGTGAACAATGCCAACATAATCATAATCCAAGCCTCTGCATATGTAGTCTTTTCATGAAACTACTTTGAAATCACAACAATAATAATGCAAATAAATCGTAATTATCGAGATCCTATCTGACAAATTTTTGTTTTACGATGGTCAAACAGCATATATTATAAAAATTCTCTATATAAAGATAATCTAATTTTTTTTTTGGATAGCACATAGGCCTCTATCTATCTATCTGTTTGGCCCTCTCCCCTAGAATCCCGTGGATTTTCCACGGGTCCTGCTAGTTCTTTACTATTTATAGAACAGCCGGCTTGTTGCTTGCCAATATATTCAATAATGTACCTAAATGGTATACAGTTCTACATGTAAAATATTCATGTTCATGCACATTTTGTTAGCATGCTGTTGAGTTCTGTATCCTGTCACACAGCTCAGTATAGGCAAATCAGCAACATATGTTTGTCTACAGAGAGACTATGTAAATTATGATTGAATGTTCCCTTGGCTTTCAACGGATGATTTGTATTCGCTCAATTATTTATATGTGATAAAAATACAGCCTGAAACTCAATGTGAAATTGTTTTGTTGGTCCTAAGCCATAATTCATTATTTTTTAGAGAGATAGTGAGATTCCTTCATGGCAATTAATTAACATTTCCACAGCTAAATCACTCTCTGTCTTGACATACATCTGTTTCATTCTTTCAGTGGTAAAAATGCATTATATACTGTAGTCCATGCATAGATTCTGTATATATTCCTCCATTGTTTTCCTTTTATTCATTTTAAAATAGCATCCATGCTGCAGTACATTAATTAAGAGGAATTTTGTCTGCCTTTGTTGATTGCCATTTCCAACAATAACCAAATGATTGGCTTTATTTCAAATTAATTTACCAGAACTAAATTGCTCTCCACTCCTGTATTTTAATTTGATGAGCAAGATGCATAATACCAGCGTCATGTCTAATTGGTTTTATTTGTATTTTGTGACTAGAAACTACTCTTGTTGCAGTAGATAAATTAAAAAGAATATGCATATTGGCCTAGAGGCTGGAGAGCAACAATCAAAATTGAGTATTGTTCTAAGTTAATTCTCTGGAACTTTTATCTTCCTCCAGCAGTCCTACAACAGGCCTACAAAGGGTTTACAGGTTTGCATTTATTTCATTGTTGATTCCCTGTTTTAGCACATTAATTTGGAGGAATGTTCTCTTCATAATGGCCTGCATGTTTGATGCGGCTATTTTTAGAATATAAATTGAGTGATTTGTGTATCCAGTTACCTACATGTAGGCTGGCAAGGTACTCAACTTCTTAAAGTCCTCATCTCTTTCCCTTCTACTTATCCCTAATACCTATTGTCATTTAATCCAGATTATTAGCCAATCCTGTGTAAGAAGATTAAAATGTGAAGCCTTAAATTTGTAACAGGAGGGGTGAGTGGTTACCCTACAATGTAATAGAATGATAGGTGACTACTTGATGCATTTTCAAGCAATTACTCAAGAAAGGGGAACAGTCTGGTGAAATGTTCACATGCTACGCAGCCATGAATTGCTCCCTTCTTGTAGGAATGGATTACTATTGTCTGCTTTAAACATTCCTACATTTAATACAGTTTGAGAGCAGCTTTAAAAGTTACAGTTTTTGACAAACATTGTCTTCATCTGGACTCCTCTCCCTTTTTTAGTTGTACGACACATGCTCCTACAACAATTGCTCCTTGGGACCGATAATTTCTCGCACTAACTGATTTCCCAACTTCGACCTTGGACCTGACTCTACACCTTATCTGAACTTAAACCTTACTTAATCTAAACCTAATCTAAAACCCAATTTTAACTTTTTAACCCTCACCCAAACCCTATACTTACAACAAAATAAAGCCATGAGCAAATCTGGTTGGATCGAT